ACCGAAGAGACCCCGGACCTTCTTTATTACTTATATTTATATATTTACTTATATTACGAAAATATTAAAAGTTACAAAAGTTATAAAAGTTACAAAAGTTACAAAAGTTATAAAAGTTATAAAAGTTACAAAAGTTATAAAAGTTATAAAGGTTATAAAAGTTATAAAAGTTATAGAAATTACAAAAGTTATAAAAGTTACAAAAGTTATAAAGGCTATAAGATCATATAAGTTATAAAAGTTATGAGAGTTATTAAGTTTAAGAATATGTATTAAAGAAGGTCTAAACTCGAATCTTTAACTTAATTATAAAAAGTGCACTTGAAAGAAGAAAAGAAAAAGAAGAAAGAAGGTCTCGAATAAAAGAAAAAGGTCTAGATTTACGTTTCTTACGTAAGCTTTTTTTAAACGCAATATACTTTCGAAAAGATTATTAATAGCGAGTATACGCATCTTTCGAATTAGATATTTATGCTTTACCGGCTAAAGAATATGCTTAATACTTTTAGCGAGCAGCAGCGCACGCATCGCAAAGCGAGTTTATTAGCTTACTTTTATATATTTATATTAATTTAAAGTTGCTAAAAGATAAAAAAAAGTAATTCTTATAATTCGGTCTTTATAATACGGCCGACGTAGCCGATAATAATATAGCGAAAAGAAAAGAGCTTTAATAAGTCCGATTGCTTATACGATTATTATATGCTTATAACGGAAAGCGTATATAAGTCTTTGTTTTTCTTTTAAATAGTTTAAGCTTAAAAGAGCCGCGCAAACCCGGCAATCGATTAAGCTTGTTTAAGCTAAGCTTTAATAAAAAGGGTCCTTTTATTAACGGCCGGCGAAAACGCAAACATCTATTAATTTAATCAATAAGCATTAATAAAAGATATGAAATATACTTACGCTTATGCTTTATTATAAAAGTAAAATCGATCTAAAGCTTATAAAGCGAAAGATAGCAAGTAGCGTAGCAAAAGAAAGCACGGCGGCGGCGAAAAATATAAAAGCCGAAGCGAAGCTAAGAGCTAAGACGCTAATAAAAATCGATAGCGCAGAAAAGACGAAGAGAAAAAAGAAAAGAAAACGAAAGATTATTAACTTAATTATATCGTCGTCGTTTTCGAATTTATATATATATATATTATTAGCGTAAGTAGCGAGAATGTATCACTTGATCTTAAGATAACTTATATTACGAGCTTAAAATCCTTTATCACTTTATCTTTTTTTACTTCTTTCTTAACCTTAAAGAAAAAGAAGAAAAAAAAAAAAGTAAAGCAGCAGCGAAGATAGCGGGGACGGTATAAAAAAAAAAAGGAAAAAAAGCGAAAGATCATTAGCTTATTCTTATTATCGTCGTCTTAATTAAATCTATATATAATATTAGCGTAAGTAGTTAAAGTATATCATTTATCACTTACACCGCGGGCTTAATTAAAGCAATAAGCAAAGCAAAAGGCAAAGCAATAAGCAATGCAATAAGCAAGGCTTATTAAAAGAAAAGAAAGGAGTATAAAAGCAGCTACTGCTGCTTGCGAAGTAGTTATACTTGCCGCTTATAAGCCGGATCCGGCCGACCTACTCGCTTTATATAAGGTCCGTCTCGAAAGTTGCGCTAGCAAAATAAGATTATATTGCTAATATAATTATAGTTGTAATTATAATTAAAGTTAAAGTTAAGGTTAAGGTTAAAGTTAATATTAATATTAATATTAATATTAAAGTTAAAGTTAAGGTTGAAGTTAAAAAGAATATTTAAGTTATAATAAATATTAAAAAGTGATAAACGAATTCACTTTTTAAAAAGGTCCGTGCTTAGCCAAATTCTTACACTTATCGTATTCGTCGGTATAATAGTATATCTATATAATATTTTATATAATAGCTTGTAACTTTTATAGCTCTTATAACTCTTATAACTTTTATAACTTCTGTAACTTTTATAGCTTTTATAACTTTTATAATATAAGTAAATCTTCGCTCTTGCTAAATCTATCGGCTTAGCATACATAATTATACAAAATTATCAAGTTATAAAAGTTATAAAAGTTACAAAGGTTATAGTTGATTCGGCGCAATTAATCGTATAATATAAATATATTATTTACTTTTAATCAATTGCTAATAGCTATACAACCCTTTTTAATAATAAACTATTCTTATACATCTTACAATTCGTTAAGCTTATACTCTTTTATAACTATTACTCGGTAAG